TATTACGAGCCTAACACAGGGAAAGTTCATAATCCAAAACTATTATTTAATCAGGTGAAAGACAAGTATGTCTCCCACTGCTGACATTGCCTAGTGTTTTACAGAGTCTAGAGGGGAGAGATTTCAGCACATGCAGGCTGCTGCCTTCATTTATACACAGAAAACTGGACTCCTCAGTCGGGGACAGACACAAGGTGGGCATTCCGCATTGTGTCCTTCTGTGCCATGGAGCACAAAAATGCTCATAGGATCCAGCATACAGTAAGAGACTGTTTTGTTAAACAGGTTTCCAGGAGGAAAACCATGTTTGTATTCAACAGTCAAAGGTCTTGCCTATTATTTCCTGTGGTTCCTGGGGTTCCTTTAGTGACATTCCAGGAATTCTGCAGAGGAAAACTATAAACAATAGATTTTCCCCTCCTGCCCTTTCTTTCCCATGGTTTTCAGAACAAACCCTCTCTCCCCAGGGTGACCCACGCAAGCAGCACAGGGCCTTCTCATGCCTTTGCGGTGCCCCCCCACAGGTCTGCAGAATGGATGGGAAGTTGGGGGGGGCAGCTTCCAACATGTGCAAAGAATCAGATGATCCTTTGTACAGCCTAAACCAAGGAGGTGGGTGCTTTCTGGAGGCTCAGTCCCCAGTTCAGGTCTCCTGACTGTAATCTCCATGCTGACTGGCTCTCCACAATTTTCAAAGACTCCAAAAGGCGTAGTCAAAGGTTCTAAGGGATTGTGACTCAGCAGCAATCAACATCTCCAACCCCCTGTCCACACAGGCTATCTCTTAAGCCTCTATAATGGTCATTCTTTTATGAACTGTCATTTAAGTAAGAGATGGGGTTGTGTGTGTTATTTTTCTGCTTCATTGAAAAAGAAGTTAAGGAGTGGCGGGTGCTGCCATCCCTGTCCTGGGGCAGCTACTGCTCCTTAACAGTTTGCACACCACCGTGACGAAGACTGAGAAGCCAGAGCCTGGCAAACTGGAGCTTTTCATTGACATCTGACCACCAGGGAGCTCCTGCACCACTGTGCCCTGCGCGTCCATCTTGCTCTAATGTTTACTATTTCAGACCGGACTCAACTCATTCACAGCATGGGCTACATTCAGACTAAATGATGAGGCTCCAAAGCATCATGGCCAGACCTATGGATGTCCCAAAACCAGTGGTGCACTGGGATATACACATAGCGTGCACTAGGATAGACATCGAGTGTGCACTGGGATAGAAATCGAGTGTGCACTGGGATATACACATAGCGTGCCCTGGGATAGACATCGAGTGTGCCCTGGGATAGACATCGAGTGTGCCCTGGGATAGACATCGAGTGTGCACTGGGATATACACATAGCGTGCACTAGGATAGACATCGAGTGTGCCCTGGGATAGACATCGAGTGTGCACTATGAGAGACATCGAGTGTGCCCTGGGACAGACATCGAGTGTGCCCTGGGACAGACATCGAGTGTGCCCTGGGATAGACATCGAGTGTGCCCTGGGATAGACATCGAGTGTGCCCTGGGACAGACATCGAGTGTGCCCTGGGATAGACAGAGTGTGCCCTGGGATAGACATCGAGTGTGCACTGGGATATACACATAGCGTGCACTAGGATAGACATCAAGTGTGCACTGGGATAGACATCGAGTGTGCCCTGGGATAGACATCGAGTGTGCCCTGGGATAGACATCGAGTGTGCCCTGGGACAGACATCGAGTGTGCCCTGGGATAGACATCGAGTGTGCACTGGGATAGACATCGAGTGTGCACTGGGATAGACATCGAGTGAGCCCTGGGATAGACATCGAGTGTGCCCTGGGATAGACATCGAGTGTGCCCTGGGATAGACATCGAGTGTGCCCTGGGACAGACATCGAGTGTGCCCTGGGACAGACATCGAGTGTGCCCTGGGATAGACATCGAGTGTGCACTGGGATAGACATCGAGTGTGCACTGGGATATACACATAGCGTGCACTAGGATAGACATCAAGTGTGCACTGGGATAGACATCGAGTGTGCCCTGGGATAGACATCGAGTGTGCCCTGGGATAGACATCGAGTGTGCACTGGGATAGACATCGAGTGTGCCCTGGGACAGACATCGAGTGTGCCCTGGGACAGACATCGAGTGTGCCCTGGGACAGACATCGAGTGTGCACTGGGATAGACATCGAGTGAGCCCTGGGATAGACATCGAGTGTGCCCTGGGATAGACATCGAGTGTGCCCTGGGATAGACATCGAGTGTGCACTGGAACACACATCGAGTGTGCCCTGGGATAGACATCTAGTGTGCACTGGGATAGACAACGAGTGTGCACTGGGATAGACATTGAGTGTGCACTGGGATAGACATCGAGTGTGCACTGGGATATACACATAGCGTGCACTAGGATAGACATCGAGTGTGCCCTGGGATAGACATTGAGTGTGCACTGGGATATACACATAGCGTGCACTAGGATAGACATCGAGTGTGCCCTGGGATAGACATCGAGTGTGCACTGGGATAGACATTGAGTGTGCACTGGCATAGACATCGAGTGTGCCCTGGGATAGACATCGAGTGTGTGCACTGGGATAGACATCGAGTGTGCACTGGCATAGACATCGAGTGTGCCCTGGGATAGACATCGAGTGTGCCCTGGGATAGACATCGAGTGTGCCCTGGGATAGACATCGAGTGTGCACTGGGATAGACATTGAGTGTGCACTGGGATAGACATCGAGTGTGCCCTGGGATAGACATCGAGTGTGCCCTGGGATACACATCTAGTGTGTATAACCCAAGCTCCTTTTCACAGTCTGTTAGAGACCTCAGAGCTTTCCCAAGTCATTCTCCAGAACAGAAGAAGCCCAAGTCAGTCCTGATGGAGCCCATCTGAACACATGGATCCACTTATGCATCATGCCACTGTCGGTCTCCTCGCTTCAAGCATGGGTGGTATGGAATGGTTCTGATTTTGGTTATCCTGAAGATAGCCTTGAAGGGGATGCAAGGATACGGCATGTTTCAAAGGATGAAAACAGCAAGTGTCTCCACTTATCCCAATAATGGAATTACTGACTTATAGCATTCTCTATACGAGGGACCCAGGGGGCCCTTAGTTCTTGTCTGGGTCACCTTTGGATCTAACCAACTAGGGAGGAAGCAACAGCAAAGTACAAAATCAATGGGTCATACAACCTGAAAAATGCAGATGATCATAAGAAGCAAATTTACAGTGCCAGTTGGATATCTCCTCAGAAGAGATGCTATGTCACTGTCTAATCTTGTCTCAGCTGGAACAGCCGTTCTAAGATGTGAAACCATCTTGGAGGAAGTTGAGATGATGAAGAAGGGGTACCATAACATTCTTCCAGGTCAGGGTGTTTAGCATCCTCCAAAGTCCGTTGCCTCTACTGCCCTTTGAATACGTGTACAGTTGCCAGTACGGACCACTGAACGCCTGATTCCAAGCAGATGGAATGGAGGTTGTGTCTGTTTTTGTGTGGTATAATTACTCAACTGTCTAATGTTTAAGATGGGGCAAGACAGATGGTTCAGTGGTGGTAAATAGCTCCAAGCAGCAGTCAGAGCACTGGGCAGGAAATCCCGGAAGATGCACCGAGGGTCACAAAAGAGACCTCCCCCTATGCATGCCTTGATGATGTGTTTGAGATATAGGTTTACAAAGTGTTTGTTATTCAGCTACTTTCCACTGAGAACTAGGGGTGAATTTATAAACATGATGTGGAAAGTATTTTTTCATTTTGTGTTAGGACACAAAACAGAGGGAGGGACACTAAGTCTCAGAACTGCAAGCAGGTCTCTGGCTCCGCCAGTCCTGTTGGCCCTCAGTGTGAAGCCCCCATCCGTGAAAACTGCTCTGCTCTGCTCCCCAGAACAAAGCATCCCAGTTGTTCAACCAAACCTTGGGCCTTGAATACTTTCTAAATCAGTGGCCTGCATAAACCTTCAGCAGGAAAAATAATCCCATCCTTTTTTTTTTTTTTCAACAACGTCAACATCAAGACCAAAATGTTATTTTCGGTTACAAAGCACTTGCTTCCTAACCAGGGCAAGGGTGGAGCCCAGACTTAGGCCTGTCTTCCTTCACTACCAGCTCCATCCCTGCTAGGGATGCCTCCAGCCAGTCTGTGGGTGCTCAGCCTGAAGGTCCACATTCTATTCTTGGTTCCTCTGAAGACAAAGTAGGCCATCAGGAAGATAGGGTTAGGCCAGGAGAAGAGGTGGACCTTAGAAGTGACTGCCCACAGAACCTAACGCATGGTCTGCAGGGAGCTGACTCTGTGTATACTCACCATGGGGGAGGGCTGAGGCCTAGAGGAGGTCAGAGCGGGGTCTAAGGATAGAACCATGTGGTTCTCATGGGGTCATTTCTACCTGGCTAAGTCTCTTTCCAGACCTTAAACTTCCCATCAGAGGTGGCGCCAGCTTCTCTGGTATAATGGGGAAGTGTGCAGAACAGCATCCATCGGAGATGATCTGTTCCGACCCCAGTAATGGCCACATCTAAATTGTACTTGAAGGTACTAATTAACTCCTACGAGGAGACAAGAGATGTGGGCAAGTGTCAAGCCATCAGGAGACCCAAATGTCCAAGGGGTCATCCTCTACTGACTGACTCTTCTTACTCATGGGCTGGCAAGCACTCCCCCGCCTGGGAGAGTTGTCCTTAGAATTCAAGTGTAGAGTGAACTGAGCTGTCTCGTGTCAAGATTCACACCGGAGAAGGGGTCTATCAGATTCTGCCTCAAATGTCCATCACCCAGTTACCTCAACCCTCAAACCTCCCCAAGCCCGCAAGAGCTCAATCAACAGAAACACTTCTAGTACGCACCCAGCACAACTCACTCTATGTTTACCCTTAGATGCCCTAAAAAAACAGTGAAGCGTAAAACATAGCCAAGAGAACAGGCATCAACCACTGTGGGCTGTGGACTGTCTAAGTGCCAACTCTGTCCCCTAGAGCCAGTGGCTCCTCATATCTGGTTACCTGGTTCTTCTGGGGCTGGTGGAGTGCTGACCTCAGGCTCTGGGGTGACTTCGGGGGGTGGTGGGGGTGGGGCTGGCGGTGCTTTGACAGGGGTCGTTGATTCAGGGGTCTCAAAGGCTTCCTCCGAGTCGGAACTCCTGGAAGAGAGAGATAAGAAACATAGTTAAGACTGCCAAGTAGACATTCTGCTGAGAAGGCATGGCCTTCTTACTCTCCGACAAGTAGATATGGGGCCGACATTCAATTCAACTGTTGAGACAGGTGTGGAGGTCACACCTCAAAGCATGATTCCCAGGAATTCTGCCACTGGCATTAAGATCAAATGATAGGTTCTTTGAATGTAGCTTGAAAGACACATGTCCATCTAGTGACAAATTCACACCCAGTGGGCTCTGTGGATACATTTTGGTGTGTGTTACCTGGCACACTGAGTCAGACTAAAAGATGGACAGTTTTTAATGTTCACCACGATGGCGCCAGCCCACCTCCAGGATCCTCATCTCGTAAATTCTATTTGCATTCACTCTCTCCCCACCCCAGTCTGCCATTCTTTCTACCCTCTGCCTTCCCTGTGCTTCTAGATATTTACTGGTCTCTTCTCCTGGGCTGAAATCACCATGCAGATGGCTGGCCTTGTTTTGCACAATACCCAGGGCCTAAAACGGAAGGCAATGAATGACCATCTGTAGAGTGAATGAGTGAGAGTCAGAAAGCCTGCCAGCGGAGGGCATGCCAGACCAAGTCACAAAGCACAGCCAGCCACTCCTCAGTGGTGTGGCGACAGCCCTTGGTGGTCCCTAGGGAAGTCTACCCGCAAGGAAGCCTCTTTATGCAGAGACCTGGGCCAAAAGCCCACCAAAGAAAGTTTCTCTTAGTAACAAGAAGTCAGTGGACAAGCCTTCTCCCTTCCTTCTGCCCCAAGCTACTTGACCTTAGCCAGAGGAATGGGCAACCCAGTTATAAGTTCTCTTGCTGCCTCTAAGACACAGGGAAGCAGTTCACTGGCTCAGGATGGCCACAGGACTAAGGCCAACCTTACCTGGAAGGACAGACTCTGTGGGGAGCAGCAGCGTGCGGCCCCCATTTCAGAACAGTTCCAATGCACTGATCCCCAGCAAGGAAGGAGGAATCTAACTACCAGGAGGGTGGCCACATAGGATGGTTGAAGATTTATAATCAGGTCATGTCACAGCACACTAGATCACACGGGTATCAGTGAACAGGAGCCTCCCCCAACACTGTGAGAGGCTCCCAACTGCTCAGCTCCACAGGGTCACAGAATTCGTGACCTTGGAAGAGGTCACCATCTTCTAAAGACCATCAGCTGACCAGCAGAGTGTCAGCAAGCAACAAACCCCTCTGCAGACCATTAGGACCTAGGAAATGAGCCGTTTGATTGAGTTCTCTTTAGAACATCTACATCAGGGCTGGAGATGGGGCTCACTAGGAAGTCATTGTCTAACACACGCAAAACCACAGGCTTAACTCTTAACACAAACCAGGCATAGGGGTCTGAGTCTGTATAATATTAGCACTTGAGGTTGAGGCAGGAGGATCAGAAGTTCAAGGTCATCCTCAACTACTATCATGTTTGGGACTCAAAGAAATCAACAAACACATCAGAACTGTTTTTATGGAACCCAACTGAGCTAAAGCCAACTTTGTATCAGATTTCACTAGCAAACACTTAATTCTCACAAACACAACAGGGAGGCCACTGATTTCTTTTCCACTCACATATCCATGCTAACAGAGCTAGCTTTTGTCTATGGGGAAAATTTAAGCTCCGCCCACACTTGGACAGCAGCAGATTGGTAGGTGAGGTTTCACAAATGAACAGCAGAGAGAAATGAATGTCCTGATCCAGGCCTGGGGTGTAGTCCTGGGAACCAGCGTCCTCACCCTAGTGTAAACATCAGGGACAACCACAACAAAACACAGAGTTAACTTGCCTCTTTCTGGAGCTTCCCTGGGCAGCTAGCAGCCTGGAATCCCCACGGCTGCTCACCGCTGCCCACATCCAATGGGTCTATTCCACTGGGGACATCATCTGCCAGGAGCCAAAAGCCATCTCCACGGAAAAACAGCCCCAGTTCCCGCCTATATGTTCTTGCTAGCATCTCTTGAGATCTAAACCTTTTTCATGGCATCAACAGAAAAGGATGCTGCTCTAATTCCCCAGCAAGGTATGCTGTGAGCATCTCCTGAGTTCAGAGGCCCCAGGCTGCCTACTAAAGCCGAGATGCAGGGGAGGGGAGGACCAAAAGCTTGTCCTGTTGCTTCTGCACCCCTGGGCACTGGCAACTCAAGGCTTTGGAACACAAAGGGCCCTGGTCTTTTTCAGTAGCACAAGTGACAAGGAGGAACCGGATGCTCTTGCATCCTAGCTGTGAATTCCAATGCGGTTCCTACTGCAGCAGCTGCCAGCCTGCACACCTGCTCAGAGAACCACCATTCACCCGGGGCCTCAGGTGGGCAGGGCATGAGGACACCGCACTCATTGTGCCTCATCATCTTTTTACTATGAACTGTGTGCATCAAAACACCACGGGCCGCCGTGGGCCACTTCTGGTGCTGCTGGCCTTCTGTGCATATTTCCACACTGCCTCCCAGGAGCAGAGAGCAAGTTAATTAGAGGAGGCAGACGGCAGCTTTTAAAATTCGCTCTTTCCTCCCTGTTCAGCTTCCCTGGGGCTTAAAAAACTCTTCCAAGAGCGAGAATTTCTGCAGTCCGCCCACCACCACGAGTCTGTGCACAAGAATAAAGCAGCTGGGTAGAGTCCCACTGCTCGAGTCCCACCGCGGTGTTCCTGTTTGTTTTTTTTTTTTTTCACTAGCAAAGCACAAATAATTACACAGCTGAGACTCCACACATTTTCATAATGGAAAAAAGAGAGGAAATTAATTTGTCACAAATATGTATCAGAAACAGAAACGGTGTTGCAGTTTGCTAAAACCCCTCCAAATTTCAAGAAAATGTTTTGTTTACCAAGACGTGAAAATGTTTACCATGTAAGAAAATACAAGAGTTATTATATATATATATATATATATATGTGCATGTGCAATATATGTGTAAATACAAGACATTAAGCACAAAGCTATAATCAAGACTGTAATATACACATACATATAGCACACACACATGCATGCACACACAGACACTTCTATATGAAAAGTACAACAGCCAGTATTTGTGGAACATTCGGTTATGCATCGGACACCAGTCTATTGTGTATGTACATCTGTCATCTTCAGAACTACAGGCTGGGGATATAGCTCACTTGGTAGAGTGCTCATCTATCGTGCATAAGGCCCTGCGTCCAATTCCCAATTCCCACCACTGCACATACTAGGCAGGTGGTGTACAAAAACCAAAACAAAGTAATACAACAACGGACAACTAGCCGGCCTGATGGAGAACAGGCATGTTTCACAGACGACACAAGCACAGTCTAGAGAAGCAAGCGGGGGCTGGAGAGATGGTTCAGCGGTTAAGAGCATTGCCTGCTCTTCCAAAGGTCCTGAATTCAATTCCCAGCAACCACATGGTGGCTCACAACCATCTGTAATGAGGTCTGGTGCCCTCTTCTGGCCTGCAGGCATACACACAGACAGAATATTGTATACATAATAAATAAATAAATATTTTTTAAAAAAAAAGAAAAGAGAAGCAAGCGGTTTTGCAAGGCTGTGCAGCTAGGAAATAAGAACAATGCTCAAATCCCAAACTGCCGACCTCTATAGTGTACCTTCGCTACATCTATGGCTTCCCAACATCTTTAGCAAGCTCAACGTTTATGTTCTTATTAAATAAAGTCTATCCTAGAGAACAAGCAGGCCATTTAAATGAACTTGTGAACGTGACGCGGGGATTGGGGCACACCAGCCGCAGCACTATCCCTGCTGATCTTTCTCCTGTCTACACAATGTTAGGGAAAGTCCCATATATCCAAAAGAGGGATTACTAACAGCTCTGCATGTTTAAGGGTCTATCCTGTGATCACCGATTCTCTGCGAGGCAGACAGGGCAGAGCAGCCATCTAACTGCACAAGGCAATTCCTCCACCAGTACCAGGCAGTATTTGGGGAATACGCAACATCACAATGAGATTGATAGATGAGAAGATAGAAATGATAGGTTGGCCTAGTCGTGGAAACCGGGGCCTGTAGGGCTCCCCAGCTGTGTTAGTACAGTTTAAAAACAATTCTCAGCATAGGGAGCATAGTTCGGTGGTAGCACCTTTACTTGCCTGGCACACTCAATGCTTGGAGTTCAAGTCCTAGCTACAAGAACACACACACATGCACACATGTACTAAATATGAACCTCTACAGTGCTCTGAGCAGTCTACAGATGCCTGTTCCACACAGGATGAAATAAGTGACTCCAATGACACGCTTCTGGAACTGTCCCTCCAAACAAAGAGTCAGGTAGAGGGAGAAATGTGAACTTAAGTTCAAAGGCTTGTTTCCCTACACTTGTGGCTTAGCTTCAACCTCATGGTTTCACTTGTCAAATTATAACAAAATAGTCCAATATCAGGAGCCAAAGATACATGACACACACACATTAATTACAAATGTATCCATGACACATGAACATGTGTGCACATAACCGAAAAATGAGTGTCTTTAAATGAAGAGGTACTATAGTTTTCCCACATGCCATTAACTGCTTACGTTTTGCTCGAGTTTTACTGGCGAGAATCCAAGGGGCTTGATAGACAGGGGCCTGGTGTCCCAAGGAAACAACCGTGCAATGCAATGTCTCAACAACACAGAGCATTTTACTTCTGCAGAAGGCTGCACAGCTGCTTTAAATGCACCAGGCAAGCACACCTGAGCACACCCATGGTCGCGCTGGGCTTCTAGTCAAAGTGCAAAGGGTCCTTCCTGTGCCTCACACTCTTCTCCAGTTGGCTACCTCTACACCTGGCGGGTAAGCCGAGAGTAGCTTCTGAGACCAGGACGCAGCATGGAGGACATACTTCTATCTTAGAAAACTGTTGACTGGGGAAGGAACTTGTGGCAGGTGGTGTCTTTATTAAAGTCTTTTACTGTTTGAGACACCAGGCTGGCGTCAGATTTGAAGAGAGGTGGCATTAAAGGCATGTGCCACCACACCCAGCCCTAC